AGACCAATGATAAACCTTGTGAAGCCTGCTTTTGTCCCTGGCTGGATAAACTGAGTTCTGCGAATTTCTCTAAAAATTGCCTTCTCTCGTTGTCAGCTTGAGCTTCCCACGCAAGTCTTCTTTCCTCCTCTCTGGCCAACCTTTCCTCTTTCTCTCGCTCACGATTTACCTTTTCCAGTTCTCTTGCTTTAATTTCTCTCTCTCTTTCTCGCTCTCTGGCTTCCCGCTCTTCATTCTGAAGACGAATAATTTTCTCCAACTGGGCCTTCTCCTCTTGTTTTCGCTGCGCCTCTTGTGCCTTTACTTGCTCTTCTATGTCGGATTGCTTTTTTCCAAGTGTGGCTATTAGTTGCATAAACTGCTCGTCTCTCTTTCGATCCTGCTCCTCTCTATAGAGGCGCTCTTTTTCTTCTTTTTCTGTCATCCATTTAAGTATTTCTAAAACTGCTCCACTTTCCCCTCGTTCTTCGCTTGTATGCTGGGCTTCTTCCTGCCTTTGCCCTCGTCTTCCTTCGGCTGCCATGGTACTATTCCAACACACCACAGTATTTCAAACCAAATTAAACAGTTTTTACTCCACTTACGTGATCCTCGCCTACCGAAGTATTTTTCCTCGGCGATAAATGACCCCACTTCTGGTACCAAAATGTCGTGAACTCAATATTGCTTCGAACGCAACAACTACATGAACAGTTCACGAAGCAAGAAATAGACCTTTTTAATTTTTACCACGCCGAAATAATCACTAAAATCATTACAACTCTACTCACTAACCACCACTAAGAAAAGAATCCCCCTTCACGGGCACACAGCCTCTATTTATACTCCTACTTATTATTACGTAACTTTACAAAAATACCTACCGTGATTACATCATACTTGCGAGATTACCATCGAACGTTCCAGAAATTTCTACGCATACTAATCATACCATGAATTATAATTACAAAGCAATGTCAGCAGGGAATAAACAAAGGAAGTCTTAAACAAAACAACCGCATACGTAATGTTTCTAAAAATTAAGTTAGTTTTCATCACGTGTCTTCGTGGCACTCAGTGACTCCGTCACAATATATAATTTGTTTTCACAAAAATATAAATCATGTTATGTTTCTGTTATCTGCTAAATATGTACCCTAGCATATATTGCTATATAAGTCGTCATACAAAGTCACATACCATATGTTGACGCACATTTTAACTGTCTTCTTGTTCTGATACATAACGGGTATGGCTGTTTAATAATTCTAGATCAATCGATGTGTTTCGAAACATCTCAAAGTGTTTTACAAGGAAAGGCATTCGAATTAATTGATATGTTAGGTTGGATGAAATTTGGCTATCTTGCCAGTGATAGGAATTGTAGCTCTCCTGGTGGACATTGGAAATCTTACTTTTTGCGTCTTTGTGAAAAATAATTATGATAAATTAACAAAAATAACTCCAATTCTAGCCTATTACATTTCAGTAAAATGTTAAAAGAATGCTTGAAAATTACGCTATTGTTCCTTTTGCCACATACGGTGCTTGGAAAAAGTTTCTCCATATCACCCCATTTCCACCTTCAAACGGTGTTGTATTGTGTGATCAATGAGCTTAGGCGAGTCCATTGCAATGCAGTTTGTTGTTCCTTTTTAGGAGCTTTGGTTGAGGTGAATCGCGAGAGACCGAAGTGCTCAACAATTATTCTGATCGACGTTGATTTCATCCTTAATCGAAAATTATCTTCGGATGTCTTTGTTTGGCTTGGAAAACGTGGAACAGAAGAACCCTTCTATCTAAGCAATGGCATTGGAGTGAACAGTCAGCTTTACTATTTGCAAAATGACGTCATCGTACTTGCATATGCAACAAAGACAAGGTAAATAACCTTTACAGTATAGAACAACAGTATGTTAGGTTTCCGCTTTTCCCTGCTAGTTGGAGAGTCAAGGTGGTATTAATTGTTGGAAATATCATTTATTTTTTGTCATCAACTGTCTTGCTTAAAGTAAAGGCGATTCCTGTATGCGAGCCGTGCCCTTAGGCCAAAGCATGGAGACAAAGGATGGCCAGTTCCTTCAATGCAGATTCATCACTCCCCCCCCCCCAAAATGCAGATACTGTTCTATTCTCGTTTTCTTTAGCTTCCCCGTCGTTGTTAGTCCTTCCCTAAATAAAGGATAGAGCCCAACCTTCAGCCTTCAGAACTGCAGCAAAATTGCCTTACCGCGGTCGATCGCCTGAGCTACTAAGGGACATATATTTTGAAGACGGTACAGCTGATGATATTTACAGCTGCTAACAAACCTTTAAGGCTGATAGAGCGCTATCCACGAGAGCTAGAAAGGAGACAAAAGTTCCATGAGACAAAAATTCCCTTTATTAAATCGTACTTCTATCCAACCTTTAGCACCATGTTCCCTGTCAGAGTTTGAAATAACATATCATTTTGACTAATCCTGCTCATGCGACTAAGAGATGTGGCATCGACAGAATTCAGATTTGTACATCTGAAGTCGATTGCTTCAGATCTAGTTTGCCAAAGCAAGGATATTTCAACCCTTTCATACTATGCATGAGTTTTTTGGTCTCAGTTCAAAAATGAACACTTTGAATTTACTCAGATTTTATGGGGACGTTGTGTGTATCAAAACTACTTGTAAAGCAACAATCTTTATATTATTCAGTATTGATTTTTTATCAGTGTTTGTTGCCTATTTCCGGCTTTTTTTCCAGCCATTTGCAGCCAAGATTTTAATACTCTATATTTACTTGTTTTAAGTGCTCACTTTTTTCCAGCATGGACCGATTTGGGCAAGGAATTCATAGATTTTTCAAGTTAATTGATCTCCCACCAACCATGCCTGTTCTTCTGCAACGTTGGCTCCGACAAAAGGCAACACGAAATTCAAAAAGCCGATTAAACTTCAGGTGAATATCTTTGTAGTTTACTTTTTACACTTACAGGAGTGTTATGGCAGCGAGATTTTTAATAGCCGGGTTATTGGCTCTTTCACTTCTACAAGCTACTTTTTCCAATTTAGTTTTTAATTCTCTATGGGACTGCTTTTAATTGTGTGTGCACAGGTGCTCTCATAATTTCAATCTGGCAGAGTCTTCTTATTTTCAGTTTGTGTTTTGTGCCATCCTCCGAGAGCCCTGTCCAGCTATTCACCTGCCACATGACTAGTGCGAAATTTAGCACTTGATTTTTATGGCTGCTTAACATTTTCAACAATCAGATTTATACATTTAATGTCAATCTTAAATTAGATACCTTTCTTACAATCCAATCATACTCCCATATGACGTTAATTGTCAAGTCACTTACAGTTTCAGAAACATTTTAAGCTCTTCTCAGTTCACAATCTCTGAATATTGCTTGATCCATTTTTAGGGAAATTGATAACTGGAGCTCCTGGATAAGCGATGTTTACAGAAGATCTAGAATCGATCTTGAAAAGCTAGACATTAAATTGGATATGCCAGGTTTGTCGTTATTGTAAATCATGTTCATTTTGTCTTCAAAATTTGAAGTTAATTTTTTGTAGATGCCAAAGGTCGAACCATTCAATTTTGTATCTTTATTTCGTAATTCGTTGTCACTTGTGTAAAAGTTGTTTCATAGTATATCTGCTTATGCTCAATGTCACCTGGTGCTGCCATAAAATGCCCAAAACATTGTTTTGATAATGTCACCAAAACCAAATAAAGTCACACTCAATTTTCTCAGTTTCTTCAGTGTCATATTGGTTTTTACTGAAAAATATACCAAAAAAGATTCAAAGCTAACTAGTTGCAGGTACCAAAGCGACGATTTCCAGTTTGCTTTGAGGAATTGAGAGTATGTAAGAATGTGCCTTCTGAACAGATCACTTAGTTTATAGTCTCTTTAATTTTTGCTAGTTGATTTTCAATTGTTCTGTAATTTGGATGCAAACATGAATCGATTCGAAAAGCACTTTGTATTGTTACACACAAAGCCATCATTTTATGGACATTCAAGCCAATCTGACTGCAAAGTGTTTTATAAATTTCTGTTAGTTCATTGGTCGTTTGTGTCAAGACATGATCTAAGCACGATTAACAAACCTGCATATTACTCACTGTCATTGTTTTCTTCGCAGATCTTGGGCTGTTTCTGTCTGCTCCTTTCAGTGATTCAGCCGGCCTTAAAAGGTAATGATTTTATGTTTCATGTCACATACTTTCGTAATATTATCCGTTGATTCTATTGATGTTGATGAAATGAAGACTCAAGACAACATTCACAATCTTTCTGGAGTTGTTGGTTCCCTTTCGAAGAAGGCCGCTTGGTCGCGTGCTTTCTGTAGAAATGTGCTGGGAAATCGCTTTATCGTGACAAGATTTACATATATATTGTACTAAAAGCAGAAAGGTGTCATCATAAGTGCCTAGGCCTAAGCAAAAGTTCCTATGGTCCATAGGCTCTATGTTTCGTGCGCTTTAGATAATACTGCGCCTCTGCTTGTCCTTGTGTCTAATACGGCCTTAATGTCATATTTGGTAAGTTGCATTCCGTCTTCTTTCTCCCCTTCCTCGTTTGAAAATAGAAACCCTGCACTATTATGACATAAGGTATCCTTTTCTTTGCAGCTGGGCTGAAGACCTTTGGTTGCATCACTTTCTCCCGCAAGTCGAGAGTTCTGTGGAGGAGCAGGTTGCCGAGGCAACCAATACTCAGCAGGACTTATTGATCCAAGTCGCTCTAAACGCATTCTTAGAAGGAGCTTTTTTGCCGGGCTGCCCATGCAAATTAGATATCGGTTAAGTTAGGACTAAATTTTTAGATATTTTAATCGACTCTGCTAGACATAATGCTGTCTGACCAGGAGGAATGTACTCATATTCCAGAGATTTTGTCAGTGGTCGAAACAGGAAGATTTGACGAATTTCCGTAGATGGTTTCATCTAAAGGAGGGACTTGAAAATTTTTTAGAGGAAATGACCTGTCGTTCTCTGATTTCCCTGGTGCAAATCAAGTCCTGTTTCGGATGCCAACACTCTTGTTGTTCATGTGTGTAACACCTTTTGCAATTAGATATTACTTTCACAAAGTTTTTAAAGAGGCCGGAAGTTTGTCATAATGTGCAGGCCTAAAAGGGGACGTATTTTCGTCAAAATTTTCGTCGCCGAGGCACCATCTTTTTTTACCTTGTTACCTAGCAGTCCAGCCATATGATACTCTGGGTACCAGAGCCTCAATAAACCGGGGATAAAGTATTGTAGACCGCTTCGGTGGCAAAGAAGGAAGCTCAAATAATTATTTCTGGAACTAATTTCGAACTACAGTATTCTCTCCAATTAACGGACACTCTAAAAGGCGGACACCTCTGATTAGCGGGAAAAAAAATTTTTCCCGATCATTTTCTGGTTAAAGTCTCATAAAAAAACTTTCTAAAAAGCGGACACTTAATTAGCGGACACTCCAATCAACGGATAATATTGTTTGCACAAAATAATGAATTTGGCTTTTTTTTCCAATTAGCAGACAGTACAAAACATTTAGGAGCCAGCGAACAAAAAAATAAGACAAATGAATATTTTTTCAAGTATTCCGACATAGAGCTTGGAGCTTCCGACAGGGGGGCTAAAATAACTAAAATATGCAGTTTTCGTACGTTATTTTGTCAAATTTGCTCCGACAATAACCTAAAATTGCCTCCGATGGGGGGGGGGGCTAAGTGCCTCCAACGGAGGGGCTATAGCCCCTCTAGCCCTCCCCTGGCGCCACCACTGATTACACCTTTTAAATACAAAACAAGGGTCTATTTCAACTTTGAAACTTATATTGCAAAACTTTCCAAAAGGCGGACATTTCCAATTAGCGGACACCTTGCTCTGGTCCCGACAGTGTCCTCTAAATAGAGAGAATACTGTATATTTCTGAGACTAAATAATGGAGACTCTGTCGCCCAGGGTAGCCATATGACTGTCTACTGACAAAAATCTCTTCATATCCCCCTTCAACCCTTCTTAAGATTTATTGAATTACTTATCTTCAGTTTCACTTTAAGCACTTGTTATTAACTGCCGACTGAATCAAATAAAGTTTTATCTTACTGTTCTTATATACAAATTCACTTTTTTTAAAACGAAATGTTTAGTCAAAGTTACGTTGCAATTAGTTCTTGCAGTTAACAGCGTCAAAAGATATGTAAATGAAGGAACCCTCGTTGTAAAATAGTGCTGTACCAGAGCATGCTACGTTTCTAGTTGATAAGTATGGAAAAACCACTGTCCCAGTTTTAAACTCTTTATTATTCAAATCTATTTGACACTTAAGGTGGTGGAAAGGGACACTGTGACTTCTGACAAACTCTAAAAGAACATATTGTACTTAACACAGAACGGCCATTGTTGTAATTAACGACGTCGGAGAATTTTCATTCCACCTCCTGTCGCACCCTTTCCCGCCCTGTTCACCATTCTATCGACCCGAATCATGTTTGCTAGTTTGGTACATATTTCAACAGTTTTATTCTCACTGTTATCTTGCCTTAAAGCACAAAAATAATAGGTGTTACTAATAATAGGTGCTAGAAGTAAGCCGTTCATACGCTTATCGGAATGGAAATATCATTTACATACCAGTAGAAGCTGAAAATCACTGTTGAAAATTTTTTCCTTATCATGAAGCTAATAGCCATGCCCCTGGACCGTGCCGGTGTCTTCAACGACTCTAGACCTCAAAGATATTCATAAAGCAAAACCTAAATAGATTTTCAATGTAAAGTGAGAAACATATTACTTTATCCTCGGTGAGTATTTATAACAAACAAATTTATAACAGTTGAGGTATTTTGATGTATATGGTTAAAATTTGCCTTATCAATTTCATCCAGAAATCCTGTCGTTTTTTGACTCTCTCTTTCTCTTCTGTCGAAAACAAAAAGAAAGTTCTTATGTTGATGCACAAGGTAAGGTAAGAGCTGAGACATACTTGTAAAGCTTTTCACTGCATCGACCAGTTTCTTAATTCTCGAATACTGAGAAAAGGGACCTTATTTCGATAAGTATTTTGACAAGAAGCTCAAGGGTAAAGGAAAGCGAAAGAATGAAAATTAATCAAAATTATAGGTCCGTGATTAACAGGGGGAGGGGTCATACCCATCAGTCTACATTACCATTCTTTGTCTCCCCCACCTTCAAACATCACTTTGCCATGCCACATCATTCTAAAGTACCAGGCACCGCGGAGCGTTGAGGAAAGTGGGGTGGTCTAAAGAAAGCGGGGGGGGGGGCTAAAACCGTATAAAAAGAGTCTTTTCTGGTAGTTTGATACTTGATATTTGGCATTTTTATTATTTGGCATCTTAATATTTGGCTAAAGCCCCCCCAGCCCTCCCTGCTCCGCGGTGCCCGAGTACCTCAGTGAAGTGAGAAGTCATGCGATTAGGGTCGATGGGACGGTCTTGCTTTTAGTACAATGTGTTTTTGCATTTCACGGGCTACGTTATGAATTGAAGATATACGAAAACAGAACCAAGGTGCACATACTGTGTGTTTATCAAGTTTCAGTAAGCTTTTGCGTTTTCAGTATTGCGTTAACAAGTTAAATCGTCTGGCACGTGGCGAAGTAGGCCCACCACACCTTGAATTTCTGATGCCATTTAAACCTGCAAGTCAAGCTCCTGTCATCATGGGGATACAACCAGGAAGGTTATTAATGATGCTGTTGCAAACCCTCTCTGGAAAGACTACATAAATGACAAGCAGGAGAATTGATGTTGCAATGGAGCCTCTGTAGCAAGAATTATCGGCGCCGAGATGGAGTTGTTGGGCATTCCCTGATTATGAAACTTGCATCGTGGAAGTACTTCTCTGCTGTATTTAAGGGTAAGAAAAAGTTGGTAATTCAGAAAATTATTTTGAATATGACTCCAAGAAAATCAAAGTTTTCAACGGTCCGAGTGAAAGTGGAAGACAACCTCAACGTCGATTATTCGTTTAAATATGAGCATAAAAATATATGTAGGGGAGTCAAACTCTTTAACTGCGAAGAAGAACCATAGTTATTTTGAAATGGGAACTCATTGTGTTTGGCTGCGCTAATGACTATTTTCTCCAGGTATTTTGCCGTCCTCGTGCCAGTTTTTGTGTTGTTTTGAGCTTGTCTTGAACTTGGTGAACAGGGTACTCTCTCTCTCGACTGGACTCTCTAGAGAAGTTGTCAAGCAAATTCCCATGAAAATGCATTTCGAAGGTTCACGCCCGAATTTGCAAAAGTTCATACCCGAATTCGCAAAAGGTGACGCCACAATTCTCATTGTGATCAAAATTGAATACATATTTGTTTTCACGCAAAGGGGATTGGATTGCACACATACGTGCTGTTTCCCACTTTTTAATCAGAAATATGGTCCTTCTAGAAAATCCACAAAGTTAAGAAAATATTGCTTGATATCAAATTCAAACCTTTTCGGCCGTCGTTGATATGAAGGGTTTGGGAGGGTGGGTTGTGCGTGGTGAAATGGTCGAATTCGTTTTCTTTCGAGTGGATTGTCGACCGTTCCGTTTCATCGTGTTTCGTGATCTACAATCCCGGACAAAAATAGTTGAGACTTTTCAGGAAAACTTTATGTTCTTGAAAAATAACTTCCCCCATCCCCCAATTCAATGTTGAATGCATGATTTTGTAGCAAAAATGATAGAACTACATACAAATCCAACATTGCTTCGGGGGAAAGGAGGGATTCGAATTTAGAAGGGCAAGGTGGCGTTAACTCAGTTCAGTTCATTTCATTTTAAAAATACATACATACAAATCTTTTAAAATACAGCAACAGGTTACAAAAGATGAAATGAATTATATATAATGAGAGAAATAGAGAACAAATAAAAAATATATATGATTTTATAAAAACGAAGGAGATTTACATCCAGAAATTTCTTAAAGGAGGAGCTCTCTCAATAAATAGACTAATCGAGGAGAGAGCACGTCCTGTGGTAAAAATAGTAAGGTAGTAAGGTAAAGTAAGGTAAAGTAGAAAAATGCAAAAATTGCATCTCGTCTCAATATTTTTGTCCGGGATCGTAGTTTCAGTTTCAAGATATTCGCTTCCCTTGCAGTAGAAAACACATAAAACGATCGTAATATTGGGCTCCTAGATCTTCAATCGTCTTTCAGTGCACAATTTTCTACTTGTGTCGATTTAATCGAAGCACATAATTCAGTTTACACTTACGAATTCAAGTGTCAGCGGGCCAATGCTCGAATATATCATGCAAGAAATTTATCGGACCAAATTGGTCAAACTGTATAGGACCTTGTACCCTTGGTACCAAGTATATAACTATATATACCATCAAGATATAATAAGAGAACCATTAGGTACCATTGAAGGTACGGACAGAGTTGGGCGTTGCTATAGAAGGGATTGGTTCGAGGAATTTGGAGAAGAGGAGACGTGGGGTCCCTGAATAATATACGAGCGAGGAGGGGTGTATATATTTCTTGTAATGCTTTGCTCAACTTTCTTGTGCTTTAAAGTCTATACAAAAACTTTGCAAGAGACATCAAACGTCTGTCAAATTCAAGCCAAAATAATATAGAATTTTTATAATAACAAGTTCATAAATATTGCCTGGAATCTTCCTTGATTCATCAATCAATCGACGTTCGAAATAAATGTTGTTAATATAAAATGTAGATTCATTTTCCGGTCATCTCAGAATGTCAAATTTTCAAAATTTTTCTTGCTGTCAACAATGGTGGTGGCCTTAACCAAAGCTTTAATGATGTTACTTTTTGCAACTTCCAACCCACTGTAAACTCTCCACACCATAAACTGTGATGTCCCCGATCATCGTTCTTATGCTGTTAAGTGATAAGTGATTCTAATTTATGGCCGCCTTCAAACTGAAGTAATTCACATCTTTAGCGAAAATTGCCTGTAAATGTCCTTTGCTGCACACACTCATTTTTTTATAAAAAACGAGCTATAAGAAAAGGTAGGCTCACTTTTTCGAAAGTTAAGAAACAACCCTTCCCAAATCAAGAAAAGCTAAGCAACTTTTATAATTTGCAGTTTCAATTTTCCAAGTTGACACTCAAAACAGTCTTGACATTGAACATCACTGTGTATTACAACACTACACTTGACATGCATTTTGCAT